CACTGTAGTGCAGTCCAGTCCGGTGCAGTCTGTCCAGTGCAGTCGAGTCCAGTCCAGTGTCTCCAGCCTCTCACCTGTCTTTATGGGAGGTCAGAGCGTTCAGGAGGTTGTGAGAGCGATCCTGTTTGGGCGTGTCTGAGAGCTGAGAGAGGAGACAGGAGACAGGGGAGAGGAGAGAGAAAGAGTTAGGCAGGCAGAGAGAAACTCAGGGCTCGGGTAGTGAACTCCAGCACCAGTGCCGCAGTCCCGCCCGTGGCCACCGGAGGGCGACACCACCAGTTCACAGCCAGCCAGAGCTCGAGAGAAACCAGGCCCAGGGCGTTCGCACTCGCCAGCACAGCTCAGTCCGCAGGAGGACTTGTCTGCTCTGTGTCCCCCGAGCTCGGGAGCATTCTGGGGGTGACAGGGCTGCTCCTGCTGCGCCCCAGAGCTCTGGAGCTGTACCCCCCAGGATATCAGAGTCTCCCCCCCCCCCGAGCTCTTTCAGATCAAGACTCCACAAGGTAATTGGTTAACGAGGCGGGTCGGCAGGTCTTGAGGGCAGGGTAATTGGTTAACGAGGCGGGTCGTGAGGGCAGGGTAATTGGTTAACGAGGTGGGTCGGCGGGTCTTGAGGGCAGGGTAATTGGTTAACGAGGTGGGTCGGCGGGTCATTAGGGCAGGGTAATTGGTTAACGAGGTGGGTCGGCGGCTCATGAGGGCAGCGTGACGAGTCCTACCGGCCCCAGCAGTAGGGAGTCCCAGTTCTCGTTGGCGAAGGACAGGATCTCCCTCTCGAAGTCGAAGTACTTCCTCCGGCAGCACAGGGACAAGTGATACAGCACCAGGTGGGCCAGGTCCACCCTGAGGTCCAGCAGATAGGCAGCAGCGGTCAGCACCCAAGAGCAACAGCGCCCCCTGGGGGCAGGGTACAGGGACACAGAGACCAGACTCCCCCTCTGGGGACAGAGACACAGAGACACAGACCAGACTGCCCCCTGGGGACAGGACACAGGGACACAGAGACACAGAAACACAGAGACACAGAGACCAGACTGCCCCCTGGGGACAGAGACACAGAGACCAGACTGCCCCCTGGGGACAGAGACACAGAGACACAGAGACCAGACTGCCCCCTGGGGACAGAGACACAGAGACACAGAGACCAGACTGCCCCCTGGGGACAGACACAGGGATGCAGAGACCAGACTGCCCCCTGGGGACAGGACACAGAGACACAAAAGGGAGTTCTCACCAGCTCATGGGGAGTCTGCTCACAGCCTCTGGCCCCGTGGTGCAGACAGAGCAGTCGAAGTGGTAGAACCTGCACAGAGAGAGAAGCCACAGCACCAGTACAGCCCAGCCCAGCACAGAACAGCAGGATCCAGCACAAAACGCACCCCTCCACTGGGACAGTACAGTATACCACTACACCCTCTCTCCAGTACAGTACAGTATAACACAACCCCGTCTCTCCATTGGGACAGTACAGTATAACACTACACCTTCTCTCCAGTACAGTACAGTATAACACTACACCGTCTCTCCACTGGGACAGTACAGTGTAACACTACACCGTCTCTCCACTGGGACAGTACAGTGTAACACTACACAGTCTCTCCAGTACAGTACAGTATAACACTACACC